CGAAAAAAAGGAACTAATCTTAAAAAATCAAATTAAAATACAGCTTTTATTAGCAGAGTCTTAGGTGCGAGAAATTTTACGCTAAATTTAGACAAAAGCACGAGAAATGGAAAGTGTAGTTTTAGTGGCGGCATTGTAAACTTGTAATGGAAGCTTGTATGTCACTGCTATCTCTTGGGTGTGAAATAGTAAAACAGGAAGATTAGACTTAAGTGTCATGTGTAAGAAAACATTTTACGATGCAGTCTGTGTGTTTCATCTTGTAGCTGTATAAATACAGACCGAACTTTGCATGCAGGTAGGAGCGGGAATCATCAGTACAGCCTCCTAATCGCCATGTACAGAAATCAAACTGATGAAAAAAGCAAGAACTGTTGCTCACCTGATGTACGCGTTCTTCAAAACGCACAGGATCCAGTGTACCTTTTAATTGTTCCAGAAGTAGATTTTTCATTCGTGTAGTAAATCTTTCGCGGCCATATGCAAGAGCTGAGACTGTTCTAAAAGATAAATTCTTGCACAGATGAAATCAATCTTTGTCGCGCAACGAAAGTCCGTTTTGAAAAGGTAAGAATCAAACTCATTTTCACCATCTCGTCTCATCATCATCCTTCGCGAATCGTAACAAACGGCTACCGGCATTTTCGCGCCAACTGGAGCTTATGAATCAGTAGGTGTGCAGCCTGTATACATGCTTAATAGCTGCCACAAGTAGTAGGCGCTTTTCCAATTTTTACCAACTTTTCGCCAATATTTGCAATACCCTTCCCAGCCCTGCCCTGGATATCTGGGAAGAACCCGGAATAATCAAAGAAGCTATCGCAAATGTCTTCATAAAGCTCATGCATAAAACAATGAAAAACTACAGAACTCTATTCACGATAATCCTCTTCTCTATTGTTCTCCTCCTCCTTTCCTCCCTCCTCCTTCGCCTCCCAATTCCCTGTGCTTTATTGCATGAAATGGACGGTTAGAGCAGGAGCGAGAAAAGTAAGGGTTATTAGAAGGCCGAATCAGAAATGGACGGTTCAAGTGGGGCGGCAAGAACGGGCCCTTACCACCAGAACAATTGATAAAAAAATTTTTTTGGGTTAAATTGATAAAAAATTTTTTGCGGCCATTAGTAGACCGAATCATAATTTCTGAAGCAGCGGTCAGTCCGAATAATGGAAAATGCGGAATGGCCGAAATCCTAAAATTTTAATATGGGGCGGATTAATTGTTGTTACAAACGTTAATTAACAGTCGTTATAAACGATCGTTGAAGTCAGAGATTTCTTTTTGCAAAATTTCCAAAAAAAGCAGCTGTAAAATCCGGGCTGACCTACTGCACTGTCTAATAATCGACAAAAGGGACAGTTGTATGGTATCCACGATGTGACGAAAAAGTCGAAAGGTTGCAGCACACTGGGTCAATCCATAAATTCGAATGTTTGGAGTGATGTGGATGGGGAAACACAAGATTGTAGTCGATTGGGAAATTGTTGATTACAGAAAAA